TTTATTCAAGGTGGAAATTGATATGGATGAAATCTCAGATCTGATGGAAGAAGCTCGTAGGCTTGGTGTTTCTTATGGAAGAACTCGTACCAATGTGCCACAAGATTCTTATCCAAGGATTATACCTCGCACTAGACATATACAACGTGTTAGAGCTACTATTCGCAGGTACTAGTAAAGTAAAAAAATATATATATAATTTGAATGTCATTTACATTTAAGAAAAATTTCATACAAAATAAAGTATAAATACGTTAAATATTAATACACGCATAATTTGTATTTATAGAAGAAATAGATTAGATGATAATACGCAATTAACCCGTCAACTAACATTTAATCCCAACCTACCTTCTACTTCATCTGGTTTGGAGTCCTTTGGAGATAACAGTCAAAGTCATTCCCCAAGCAATGCATCTAACTCTTTGGGTTTTGGAGATCAAAATTGTTCAGATAAACATTCTAAAAAATCACGGAAATCACGGAAATATACAAGTAGTTCAAGTGATTCCAGTGATGAATGTATTTCCAAAAAGTCCCGAAGAAGAGTAAATGATAAAAATAATTCAAATAATAGTAAATATAGAAGGAAAGGCAGTAATAGTATAAAATCTGGAAGTAGTTCAAGAAAAAGTGGAACTAGAAATAATTCAAGAAAGTCTGGAAGATCTAAAAAAATGTCTAGTAGAGGAACATTATTGAAAGAAGTTAGAATTACAGAATGTAATGAAGATGGAGAAGAAGAAGAAATTATAACTTATGTTAAGGTGGCTACAATTGGATCAAGAAGAAGAAGAAGAACTAAGAGAAGGAAGGTACATTAATATTGGTTCCTGAAAATTTTGTTTTTAAAAATAAAAATTCTTTTTTACAAAATATGTAATCGTATTTATTGTATAATATCCAAATTATAAAAAAGAAATAATAGAACAAAATGAAGAAGAAAGAAAATGGCAAATAAAAAACATTTTCTTTTTTTATAGAGGAGAAGTCGTAGACGTCGAGCTAGAACTGTATCCAGTGTTTTAGCTAATACCAAAAGAAGGCTTGCAGTTTCTTTGGGTATTTGTAAGCCAATTAAAGGTGCTCAGATGTTAATACCTAGTGTTAAAAATAGTACAGTTGTAACAGAAACTTCTGCGTTAACCGTATCACGATATAATGCTGGAATCTCAAGGCTTAGTCTTTTTGGAGATGGTTTAAATTTGGATTATAGTCCTCCAGGGTAAATATAATATTTTTACATGAATACTTGAATAATAAAATTCCGATTACTAAACTAAAATTAACTTACATTTTAAGAAATTAATTGATAAAAACATTAAATTTAAAAAATTTTTTGCTTGTAGATCAGATACGGAAGATTATCATACAACTGGTCCAACTATAACTGTTCAAAGACATTCTGTAATTTCTTCTCGGAGACATTTACGTTTAAAAAATGTTGTCACTCCTCAGCAGCCTCAAACCGATCTCTTAAATAGCATAATAAACGATCAAGAAATTTGGCATTCAAAAAATAATAATGTGACGATGAAAGCTAACGGACTTCTTTTAATTAAGAAAAAGGAAAATTTGGAAGATTTGAAAAACGAACAATTAGAAGAAAAAAAATTACCTAAAACGGAAGAGACAGAATCTGTTGTAGAAAATAGAATTTCTAGAGCTGACACTCCATTAGAAGTTTCTAGAATTAATCCAGAGTCGATTACTCAGGCCCCAATGTATAATAATCCTTGCGGAGGAGGAAATAGGGGTAATTTCAGAGGTGGCTACAGAGATAATACAAGGCATAGTCATGGAGGGCAAAATTATGGAAGAGATTCTTTAGCTGGAAGTGGAAGACATAGTTATGGAGGAAGTGGAGGTAATTTTGGTAGAGATTTTGGGCCACCTGCATTTTATAATCCAAATTTTGAACATTGTGGACCTCCAATGTTTGGAGGCAATCCTCCATTCAGAAATCGGAATCCACAACACTTTAGAAATGAAAGGTATACATTGTAATTGCAAGTGAAGGATACACATTTAGTTTTTTCTTATTAATTATATTTATCAAATTTTTTATTATATTTTCATAGATTTCGTTTCATGCCTCCTGGAAGACCGCAATTTAATTTCGCTGAAGGTTTCGCCGAGCATCATTCCTTTCCCGAAAGGTTTGGTCGTCCTAGATCTCCTCAAGGTCCTATCGAACGTCCCCAAAATAATATGCCGCCAAATTTACCAGAAGACACTCCAAGAAGCGACTCTGTAGAGCAACAACCACAAGATACTGAAAACGCCTCTGTTAGACAAGAAGAAGATTGTGATATTTATTGCGATATTGAAACAAAATCTGATGGAGAACTTCAAGATCAACAAAACGGTTCAATGGCATTGTTACCACCACCAGAACCTCCATCTGGACTTTTAGATTTTGAAGAAAATTCTAGAAGTGATAAAGATAGTGATCAAGAACTAGTTATCGATGATAGTCAAAAAGAGGATACTCCAAAAAATGATAAATATGATCCTTTTTCTGTGGATAGTGATAGTGATAGTGAAACAAAGAAAAATGAAGAGGTTATGGAAGAGAAAAGAGAAGAACAGACTGTACAAGGTGTGATGCAATCTGAGGTGCCAGATACATCAATTCGTTTGTCAGCTTACGATGACGAGGAAGAAGAAGATTCCCAAGCAGATTGTCCAAATTTCTCTATTTATTCTTCTCAAACGATGGATGTAGCACGTCATACTGAACAACAATTATCACAACAAATAGGACCTCTTGAACCACCCCCTCTTCCCCCTTCAATTCCAGATGATGACGATGTCATTGTTGGCGATGTTCAAGCTTGTGATCTTGCTGATATTCCAGAACCGTCAGATCCATACGTGGAAGCTTTACGAAAGGAAAGACAAACTTTAAGTAAAATACCACCAAAGAAAATTTCTCATGACAGTAGAGGCAAGATTACATTTAAAATTGGTACTAAGTTGAAGATAAATAACAGACTATTAGGACTGCAGGAGGAAGAGAAGGAGAGTGGTGATGAAAAGAAAAAAGAAACCGAGGTAAGTAAGAAATATAATGTGGTATCTTACATGCTATTTGCTTAATATTATTGTTGTAAACACTATTTTTACAGCCTGCAAAAGAGGAAGAAACTTCGGTTGATCGTGAAGAAGAAAGAAAGAAAATTGCTAAGAGCAAATTCGAAGAAGAAGTTCAATCGAAAGAAGATAAAAAAGAAGATTCAGAAGAATCTTTAACATCTGCAAATCCTTTGGATTTCAAAGAAAAAGACATAATTGAAGAAGAAAAGGAAAAAGAATGGATAGAAACATCTAAAGGCAACATGATGGAAAAAAACTCTAATGTAGTTGTTTCTATCGAAATAACTGAACAGTTGTCTCCAAAAAAGTTAGAAAACGAGTTAAGTAGTGAGTGTATGTCGGAAGAAGGGAGTGAAACATTCTCTTCGTTTCACCAGATATCAAAACCAGATGTTGAGGAAGAAGATTTGAAGGAGGTTTCGAAAATTGAAGAAGAACACGATGAAATAAAAATCAAGGACCCTGATGATATAGAGAGTGATAAAGATGATAAAGAACAGCATCGTATTGGCGAAGATGAAGAAGAGGACGAAGATGATGAAGAGGAGGAAGACGAGGAAGAAGAGGAAGAGGAGGAAAGATTTCCCATTGAAAAAGAAAAACCAAACAAAAAATGTACAGTCGAAGATGTCGATAAAAGTACATGGGAATCTGACGGCGCTTACACTCCTTGCAAAGATGAACTTCCTTTGAAAGAATCGAAATCTTCTGAGCAGTTGCCACCTATTGAAAGCGGTTTAGAACCAATTACACCAACAAAGGATAAACCTGACGATTTAGATAGTTGTAGGACTCCCGTAGATTATAATGTTTTGGGCACAGAAGCTATTTCAGAAACAGATGAAGCAATGAATTTCGAAGATGAATTAACTTTATTGAGTTTACGAAAAGAGAAAGAAATGGAAGATGGAGAAATTGTCGAGGAAAAAACTGTAAAAGAAGGAGATAAAGCTGAAATAGAAAAGGAAGATGAAAAGAAACGAAAGAAAAAAGAAAAGAAAGAAAAGAGTAAAGAGACCGAAAAGAATAAAGAAAATATTGCTTCGGAAAATCAAGTTGCATGGAAGAAACTTTCGAAAAGTACGAAAGAGAGATCTTACAGGGACAAGGAAAAGAGATCAAAGTCAAAGGAAAAAGAGAAACCGAAGAAAAAGAAAGAAGTCGTCAAAAAGAAGGAAAAAAGGAAAGAGTTGCCCAGATATGACGTTAGAAAAATAGTTGCGGAAAGACCATCAAGACCTAGAAAAGACGAATATGGACGGGATATTAGAGAAAAGTCGAGGCAAAGAAGTAGATCAAGAAGCTGCAGTTCGTCCAAACGTTCTAGATCGTATTCCAAGCTTCGATCCAGAAGTAGATCTAGAACTAGGTTACAAAGATCTTGGTCTAGAGACCGTAGATCTTACACGAAATCCCTTTCCAGGCGGAGATCCCTTTCTCGTGGAAGACGTAAATCGCCGAAAAGAAGATCAACTTCTAGAAGGAGATCTTCTTCGAGAAAACGATCGCTTTCCCGAAGAAGGTCGAGATCTCTTTCTCGAAAACGGAGATCCTTGTCGAGAAGAAGGTCTAGAAGATCTATTTCGAGATCAAGAAGGTCTCTTTCGAGGTCTAGACAAAGAAGGTCTATATCGAGATCTAGAAGATCGTTGTCCAGATCTCGTGACAGGCGTAAAGACAAGAAGAAATACAAATCTCGAAGTCGGTCAAGGAATAGGAAGAAATCCAGATCAAAATCGCCTAGAAAGTCTTCAAAGTCCAGAGAAAGAAAACATTCAAAAAGGAAAGCGCAAAGTAGATCAAGATCGAAAGGAAGATCTTGTTCTAGAAACTGGGAACAAGTTGACAAAATTACAGCAGGAACCGATTACGTCCAGAGAATGGTCTCCAATGCTAGACAACGTTTCAGTTCCACCAAAAAATCTAACCGTAATTTTAACAAATAAAGAAGCTATTAAGAAGAAGAAAAAAGAACGCAGAAAGGAAAGCAAAAAAGCAAAAGATGAAAAAAAGAGAAAAGGAAAAAGAAATAGAACTCCACCACCATCGAAAGAAGTTTTCGCTAGTGGAGATAATATTTTGGTTAGTGTGTGCTTCAATAAAGATAACGAAAACGATCAATCAGGAGTTCCTGAACTTCCAGAGACAATTCCTCTGATTCCTCCTCTTAAACGTCGTCGTAGAGAATCTCTTCAAGCTGATCCTCCGAAACGTTCAAAAAAAGAAAAGTCGAAAGACAAGCGTTCTAAATCTCCAAAACCTAAAAAGGATAAAAAGAAAAAATCAAAAGCAGCTGAAATAGCAGCAACGAAGAAACCAGTCGCGGTGATTGATCTGGATCAATCTCCATTCCGGGAACAGACGCCATCTCCTAGAGATGTGATCGTTCTCAGCGACGATGACGATAAGCAAATTCAACAAGTTACCCCAGATCAGTGTCAACCATCACAAAATTCTCCACCGCGCGAACAATTTGTTTCTCAGGGTCCAAAAACTCCTCCAGAACCACAAATAAAATTTTCGATAAATAAGCAGACTAGTAACTTACGACCGTCAATGTTAAATCCGCTTTTAGATGAGGAAGAGGAGGAAGAGATGGACGAAAGGGTCGAAGAGGAGTTAGAAATGAGAGCGCAAGAAGAATTAGAATTAAGATTAAAAATTGGACCAAATACACCTCCAGAACCACCAACATCTCCACCAACTAGTCCAGATGCGTACGATCCGTTTGATCCAACTAAGTCCAGGTCGCCAACACCAGATGCGAGCCAAGAGGCAAATTCCAGTGACGAAAGAAGAAGGTCTCCAAGGAAGCACGACTCTGCGGATGGAAACATTCTCGAAGAGGAAAATATGCAGACCCAGGAGAGACAGAGTCAAGAGAAGCAACTGGAAAAACCTAAGATCATTTCTATGGTTACGATTAAGAGAGCTTCTCCACAAAGGGACGACGTTAACGAAAACGAGAGCAATAAGGACACCGCAGTCTCAACCGGAAATCTAGAGGTACAACAGAGTCAACAAAACGTACAAAACCAGAGTAATCCTTTCGCCGTGATGAATCCTGTACTGGCTACAGTAGCTGCAGCAGTACAGAGAAGCGGAGTTTTTAGCGCGTCAAATTCAAATAGTAGTCAACGTAACTTGTTACAGTCGAATCGAATTTCTCCAAGTAATCAACAAAAACAACGTTCTGGCGATCGTTCGCAGGCACCTCCAGTCTTTACGAATTCAGGCAAACCTTTGAGAAGCTCGAAGTCTGGACAGACGAAAACCAACGGACAAAACGGAAACGATGCCGGTACGGAAACAGCGGACAATGTGGATATGTCTTCCCCCTATTCGCCTGGATCAACGCTTAGTGATGGAATCTTCGATCCACCGAGTCCAACGAATTACAATAATTCACCTGGTGCTGGGGCAGGGAGTGGAGCAGGACCTGTTGGTATCCAGCCTACCAAAAATAGTAATTCGAAAACGATTAAAACTACTGAGAAGAAGGATGCTTTCGATGCTCTTTTCGGTACTTTACCAGTTACAAAAACTGCCAGTAAACCGACTAGAAGCAAGAAACCTGAAAAAGATAAGAAAAAGAAGTCCACGAATCCGAAGGTTGGTGTCAGAATGGACGAGAATCAGCTTCAAATATTGGATGATCTTCCAAGTTCTGCGGTTGAGATGCAAGTCAAGGATAAGGTTTGGGTTCCATGCAACTTTAATTCACTTCATAATCTATATTCAACGTTCAGATGAAATTATCTACATTTCTGAATAGATACTAGCATATAATAATGGGAGAAATAATTAGTTATTGTTATAAGTCTTATGCTTAAAAAATTTTGAATAATCGTTATATTATATGCATTTTTTAATAGTATTGTGTTTGACTGTTATGTAGTTCCTAAAGAAATTAAATCGTCAAGAACGAGTAGTTGAGGAAGTAAAATTGGTCCTGAAGCCACATTACACGAAAAAACATGTAACAAAAGAAGAGTACAAGGATATTATGCGGAAAGCAGTACCTAAGGTACGCAGTTAATATTATATAAATATTTGCTATTCAATGATTACATTTATCTGAAACGGTAAAAACTGAAACTTTAAAATCTATAAATGGTTTTGTAATTTTTTTTACACAGATATGCCACAATAAAACAGGAGAAATAAATCCGAAGAAAATTGCCCATTTAATAGAAGCTTACGTCAGAAAATGCAGAAGTAGCAAAAAGAAAACTACCGAGAGTTCCTCCACGAAGGCCTCTAAACCAGCGTAAGTAAATATAAATCATAATTGTTTTAAAGTTTAAATTTTCATATACGAATAATATTTTATTATTCATAAATCTTGTTGCACAGTAATAGTTTATATATTTTACAATTTAAAAAATTTCATGAATGTAATTATCTTATCATATTTACAAATAATTATTAAGTTTATATAACTACTACAGTATTGAGCAGTTTAAATTTAAATTATATATACAAAGTGCCCCACTTTAATCTATCATTGCAAATATTACGAAAAATACGCTAGGTAGAAGAAAATGCTTTTATGGAGTTGCAAGAGATCAGGGCGAACATTGTAAGATGCAGGCAGTATGTTGCTAGGTGAAAGCGTTAAGGAGAAACGAAGGTCACTTACATTTTTATTAAATCGAATCAAATATCTTTTAGTGCATTAATAGATGCAGCTCTTCATTCCGTATAAAAAAAAGTCTTAACCTATTTATGTAAAAAAATCATTAGTTTAGGAAGTATTTGAATTTCAATATCGCAAAGTGGTACTAGTATACCTACTTATACCTACATTTTCTGAAGTGACTTTTTTTTTTTTTCAAAATGGTAGAGGGTAATGAGAGAAATTTAACACTAGGTTTACGGGACGCGTCATTTTGACGCATTTCGAATTTCACAAGGCAACTACAGAAACCGTTTACATTTCTCTTCCTACCATTTATGCTTATTATAAATTTTATATAAATATATAATATTACATATGTTCCGTAGACATAGGTATATAAGAAATGTTCGTAAACCTAGTGTTAACCATACCATTTCTTATGTGACTTTATTTTATGTTAAATGTATTTCATTGAATTGGTATGGTTGAATTCGACTCATTACCCTCCACCATTCTACTATTAAATATTTGCAATAATAGATTAAAATGGAACATCCTACGTGTATAATTATAATATGCTGCGGGCGCGCGCGCGCGCGCGCGTGTGATGTGTGATAGCCATGTATATGTTTCAAATGAGATGTTTTTATTTTACTTTACATTTAAACAAAATGTGATTAAAGACAAGTATATTATTTCTTTTGTGTATTTTTGTTTTTAAGCGTATATCATTTAACAAAGAAGTTGCAATTTACAGAAATTTAAATTTGTTTGTTATAGAAAAATTTTGTGGAGTTGATCACGAGTCAGCTAGGTGTCTGTTCAATTCCCTTCAATTTTGTAGTTCAGGTGATCATCGTGCTTGATGAGCGGTGAGTGAGCTTCGAGACAGCTAGTCTCCTCTTCGATGATGCGATGTATCTTGTATTCTCTGTAAATACGTAATTAATTCATTGATTAATTGATTGATTGATTGATTGATTGATTGATTGATTGCTCGATTGATCGATTGGTCGATTGGTTGCTTGATTGATTGATCGATTAACTTTTAAGAATACCATTTATTATTTATATAAACAATAACCTTTGTCTCATCAGGGAATCCAATTGTCTCTACGGAACATCCATTAATTATATAATATTTAGTTCAATTCCTTTTTTACTTTTAAAAGATACTAATTTAGTTTTTTGAAAATTAATTATTATTCTCATTATTCATCAATGAAATTTATCATAACATATATTTGTTAAAAGACTTGTTAAAATTTCTATATATTCAATACTACATTGCAAAATTAATTTATCTGTTGTCTGTACATATATTTGAACTTCAAAGTTTAGAAATTGAACCATGAATAAGATAAATGAAATAAAATAAAATACCGAGTCGATTTTGATTCACATTTCTTTGTACATTATGTTTCAAATCAACACAAGTGCAATTGACAATCTAAATCATGACATTGTTCAAACTTATTTTTTTTAATCTAATTTTTAAAGTTACTTCATGTGTATTAAAAAAAAAATTATATTCAGATTATTTTAAGTTTGCAGTATATGATTATAATTAACAAACAACAGAACTTGTACAACTGACATTTTTTTGAAAAGAAAAAGGTAGACAAGTTTTATATAATTTGTAATATAATGATTTTTCTCATATTGAAATATTTATCTATCTTCACAGACAAATATCTATTACTGCAACAAATGACACTTTTATAATTATTTATTCAAGTGATTACGCTTTAGCTCTTATTTTTATTAAAAGTGACACATTAATATTTGTGATACCCGTATTAATTAATACATGAAATAAATAAGCCAGAAATGGCACTTTGGATATTCCGCAGAGACCGTCATTTTCATATTTCTTAATGCACATGTAAAAATGCTTAAATGCCACGTTTCAAACGTACATATTGTAATTTCACTCTTTCTACAGAGTTGGACATTATTCGAATAAATTATTATTATCATAACTATCATTATTATTATTACCATTGTGTCTATTACTGTTTTATTATTAGTACTACTGTATGTATTATTAATATATAAGTAATTGCTTGAATGAACCTTACCCAAAATAATTTTTTATTTATTTGTAAGTTTATTGTCAAATCTATCTAGAAGGATAAAATTTATTCGAATAAACATGCAGTCTAACGATTTGTTTCTTTTAAAATATATATAAATGTACCAAAACTAACATAGAATTACAATAAACTTAACGTAGTATTAATAAATTTTAGTATGTATAAATTCATGAACATTGAACTGAAGTATTAACACGTTGACTACCGTAGTGATTATTCATGATTTTTCGGTAGCGCCCCAATGGTTACTGATTGATGCTATCGAAATCTCTTCAAATATTTGTATGAAATAAATACTATTAAATAAAAAAATTGAGTAATATAAATAGCTGCATAACAATATAAAATAGTATGTTATTTTTAACAATACAAATGTTTTACAGAAATTAAATTTCATGTTGGATTACACTAAATTATTGTCAACAAATAAGGTTAGTCTTATTTGGTCATATTACACAATATTTTATTTTTATGTGCTTATTATAAAATTGAAAATTGCATTGTGGTATACATTGTAAGACAAAAATTGCTGGGTAATCAACGTGTTAAATAAATATGAAGATTAATCATTAAATAAGCAATCGTCTAAAAAATTGAGTTACGGAACTTATCAAATTATATGAAAATAATTTTTCATTGCGAGTAACCATATGTGACAGCGTGACTCTTAAAATGTTTAATATGATACAAGACTACTAAAATTAAAGTCTTCAGTAATAAAATGGTATAATCCTATATTTTTATAGGAAAAATTTGAATTTTGTAAATCATTGTCGATTAATATATTTAAAACACGTTACAAACAAAGTACGCAAACAAAGACTGCATTGATTAAATTAAAATGCGTCGTTAGT